AGAGGTGTCCAAGAAACCTTTTCAGAGGGGGCCCCACGAGGCTCGTCAGTGGCCTCCAGACGCTCTTCAGAAGGGGCACAGGAGGCTCTTCAGAGGCCCCAGGGCAGATGCCCCAGAGAGCTCTTCAGAGGCCCCGGGGGGCTCTTCAGAGGGGCCCACGAGGCTCTTCAGGGGGACCAAGAAGCTCTTCAGAGGTCCCAAGGCGCTCTTCAAGGGATCCCTGGAGCCTCTTCAGAGGCCCCAGGACCCAAGAAACTCTTCAGAGGGGCCTCACGAAGCTCTTTTCAGAGGTCTCAAGACGCTCTTCAAATGCCCCAGGTGGCTCTTCAGAGGCCCCAAGAGGAGGCTCTTCAGAGGCCCCCTGGAAGTTTTCAGAAGCCCCAGGAGGCTCGTCAGAGGCCCGAGAAGCTCTTCAGAGGCCCCAGGAGGCTCTTCAGTGGCCCCAGGAGGCTTTTCAGAGGCCCCAGGAGACTCTTCAGAGGCCCTAAGGGGCTTCAGAGGCTCTCCGAAGGACCGAAGACCTGCCCCGCTTCACCGTTCTCGAGGATTCGTATACTGCGGAGAATCCTTGGCCGTACTAAAGCCCACCGGGCCGCACAAAAGCCCATCTGGCAGCAGCAGAACCTTATCTCTCCCGGGGGGGGTCGCCACCGAGATACGCTTTCCCCCCCGGGGGGCCCTGGGGCCTCAGAGAGTACCAAGACAGGCCAAGAGTGCCCCAAGAGTCGCCGAGACGGTCCAAGAGGGCCCCTAATCGCCAAACGATCGGTCCAAAACGCCTTCACGCCCTCCAGACTGCCCAGGAGGCCTCCAGGACGCCCCAAGACGCCTCCAAGAACACTACCGAAAGGGCCACAAGAGGCCAAAATCATTGATTCTTCGCTGTGTTCTTTTTTGTTGTTGAAGAAAAAGATTTGTGCGTTCTCGCCTTTTCCACTTCCGCCGCTCCAAAACGGCGCCAGAGGCCCCCAAGATCTCCCCAAGACGGCCCAAGAGGCCTCCAATAATGCCCATAACAGCCCAAGAGGACCCCAAGACAGCCTAAAACGCTTCCAAGACGGCCCCCGCTGCCCCCAAGACGGCTCCAATAGCGTGCCCAGACGGGGGACCCGAGCGGACATTTCGAGCCCTCGGCCCTAAGAGGCTCCCCCAGAGGTCCCCCAGAAGCCCCAAGAGGCCCACCAGAGGTCCTCAGGAATCCCGAAGAGGCCGGCTCCCAAGAGGCCCAACAATTTCTCCCCAGAGGCCCCCGAGAGACTTCCGAAGAGACCCCAAGAACCATCCCTGGCTCACGTTAGCGTCGTCGTCGTTGCCGCCGCCGCCGTTGTCGTCGTCGTCGTCGTCGTCGTCGTCGTCGTCGTCGTCGTCGTCATCGTCTCCGTTCAGGGTCGGCGGCACTGGCCGCAAGGCCTTCGCAATAACCAGCCCTCCTTAAGCCGCATGGGCCTAATCCTGCGGAGATCGGGGCACAATGTAAGCTGTCTTGCAGCCGCGCTGCTTGCCCATGGAAGCAGCAACATTCGAAGCGGACGGCCTCTCATGACGTCACTTTTTGTGGCTTCGTGGCGAATTTCCCCTTCTATGATGGTGCGAGTACGAGCGAGCCTGAGCGGCTCAGTACGAGCTGGTCTGACTGTAAGGGAGTCTGTGTATGAGTGGGCCTCCCCCGGCCGCCCCTTCGGACGCCCAAGTGCCATGCCTGCCACATCGCGGTGGCCATGGGGCCTTGGAAGGAGATCCGTCGACCGGGCCAGGCCGAGCGGCAAGTCGACGTGAGAGGTCCCCTTGGCGCGAACGAGCCAATACCACACACCCTGGCGGTTCCCCGTTGGGGTGTCCGAGCGCCAGGTCTGCTGCACCGCGATGGTGACGCCGCTGTGAGAAAGAGAGACGCGTCCTCGCCTCCCGTAGCCAGGAAGACCGCCCCGGAAAGGTCATGGCGATGACAATGCTGAGTGCCCTCGGCAACATCATCCATGCTGCTGCCAACCGCGGCGCGAAACGTGCGGCTGCCGGCTCTGGCTGGTCGCCGTTCTCAGTAATCGTAAAGATCGAAGTTGGCGATGCGCATGGTGATGAAACTGACGAGGACGATGATGACGGACGATGACGATGACGATGACGATGACGATGACGATGCTGATGATGCTGCTGATGTTGATGATGGTGATGGTACTGACGATGATTACGCGTATGCTGATGCTAATGAATGTGATGATGGTGCTGCTGCTGAGGCTGATGCTGATGATGGTGGTGATGATGATGATGATGATGCTGATGCCGATGGTGATGGCGATGGTGATGCTGACGATGATGATGCTGCTGCTGATGACGATGATAGCAATGGAGATGATGCTGATGGTGATGAGACTCATGATGATAGCACCGACGATACTGACGATGCTGATTATGCTGATGCTGCTGATGATGATGATGGCGATGAAACCGACGATGACGATGACAATGTCGATGACGATGATGATGGTGATGCTGATGCAGGTGCTGCTGACGATGATGATGCTGAACATGATGCTGTTGCTGAAGATGATAGTGTTGGTGATGATGCTGATGATGCTGATGATGATGATGATGATGTTCATGATGATGCTGACGACGCAGATGATGATTTTGATGATGATGCTGATGATGCTTATGACGATGGAGATACTGATGATGATGATTCTGCTGACACTGGTGATGATGCTGATAATGATGATGGTGCGTGCGATGCTTATGATAATGATGCTGCAGAAGGTGGTGGTGGTGGTGGTGGTGATGATGATGCTGATCATGATTATGATGCTGCTGCTGTTGATGCTGACGATGATGATGCTGCTGCTGCTGCTGATGATGATGATGATGATGATGATGATCAGGATGATGCTGCTGATGTTGATGACCATGCGGATGAGGATGAGGATGGGGAGGAAGACCAGGATGACGAGAAGGAGGAGGATGAGGAAAATGATAAGGAGAAGGAGGAGGAGGAGGAGGAGGAAGAAGGGGAGGAGGAGGGCGAGGAGGAGGTTGAAGAGGAGGAAAAGGAGGGGGAGGATAAGGAGGAAGAGGGGGAGGAGGAGGAGGAGGAGGAGGAGGGAGGAGGAGGAGGAGGAGGAGGAGGAGAGCACGGGGTTACGGCTATCATGGAACACCCAGCGATATCTGAGGCGGTGCCTGAGGTGCCGAGCCCGTGGAGGTTGCCAGAGGTCAAGATGCTTGCCACTCAGCCACAAGTATGCCTAAGCATTATTGATAGTGCATGTTCGGAGGAGTGGCTCTGAACCCCACGTGCTTGTGCGGTGTCCATGCCCCAGCCTTGGAGCTTGCTCTTGATTGCATGCGCACGCGTGGACGGTGTGACCGCAGCCATGCGCACCACACGTTGCGCGGACGAAGCGAGCAGGGAGGGTGGCACACCACGGGCGCCAAGCAGTGCCCGTCGCCTCTGTGTGCCTTGCTTGTGGGGGCGGTTGTGTCTGAGGCGTGGCACAGGCACGAACACGCGCGTGCTGATCACGCCGACCCTGCCACCGACATCCCCCCTGATCTCCACTGCTATTTTACTCTTCTTGATCCGTACGATGCCGGACTCCATATGATGCGCGACTATGTGGGCCCCAATCGATGCCGGCAAGACTGAGTGCCCTTGCGTTATGGTGCTGCCCATATCGTGATGGCCCGCCTTCCTGGAGGTCTGGCCCTCCAGATGCTGTGCCCACAACTCGGGGTGCCTGCGGCTACGCTGCCGTGGTTCCCCTCCCCTCCCCTCCCCCGACTTCTGCACGTCACGGTGTTCGAGACGGGCATGGGCGAGGACTCTTTCCCAGTCCCGCTATTTCTCACCCCATCCTAGAGTGTAGGCCACGAACCCAAGCCTTTAGGGAGCGAGCGAGCGAGCGAGGAGGAGTAGGAGGAGGAGAAGGAGTATGAGGAGGAGAAGGAGGAGAAGGAAGAGGAGGATGAGGAGGGGGAGGAGGAGGAGGAAGAGGACCAATGTAAACCCACGAGCCACCAACGATGTTGGAATACACCGTTCCTCCAAGCTCCGTCTTCATAAACCCCTACAACTGTCCATTTCCATTGAGGGATCTGCCTCGTTGGAAGACGACCGTCTGAAGACACGGAAGCATGCAACACCTTCAATCACCGAAACTGTTGCACCCGCAGAGTCCTGAACCCTTCCAACACATAATTTCTGGTATGTTGATCGTGGGAACCCGTGAAACTCTTGCAAATGTTATGAACGAATGTGCGCGGCGCTAAGGCGAGAACCACATTTTGGAACCGCCCTCAATCTTTGAAACTCTTGCAATCTGTTAAACCGAATCTGCGCGGCGCTAAGGCGAGAACCACATTTTGAAAACGGGTTTTCCTCAATCCGTGATGCTCTTGCACATGTTTAAGACGATTATGCGCGGCCCTAAGGCGAGATCCACATTTGAAAACGGGTTATCCTCAATCTGTGAAGCTCTGGCAAGTTTTTAGAATGGAGCCACATTTTGAAAACGACACGCCCTCCATGTGTGAAACTGTTGCCAATTTCAAGCTTCAGAGAAATAACTGGTGAGGAAGTCTCAGGCGAAACGCCTGGCACGCCCTACAATTGCCTCGGGGTGCGAGAGGGAGAAGTTAGTTATAAGGAAAAATGAAGGAGGATGAGGATGAGGAGGAGGATGAGGAAGAGGAGGGGATGAGGAGGAGGAGCAGGAGGATTATGAGTAGGCGGCGGAAAGGGGACGACAAAGAAGAATAATAAGAACAAGAATAATAACAATAATAATAAGAAGAAGAGGAGGAGGATGAGGGAGGAGGATGAGGAGGATGAGGAGGATGATGGTGATGCTGTAAATGATGATGCTGCTGCTGATGATGATGATGCTGATGAAGCTGATGCTGCTGATGATGGTGATGGTGATGGTGATGAGGAGGAGGAGGGGGAGGAGGAGGGCGAGGAGGGAGGAGAGGGACAAACAAAACGCGTGCAACGCAAAAGCGGCTGCCTCTGCCGATGCCGCCGCGGCGGCGTCCAAGTCGATGCCGAGCCCCGCGATCTTCTCGTCGGCCTCCTGCAAGGTTCGCTCAGCCCGGAAGGCTGCCTGGCCGGGGCTGGAAAGGAAACGGTGAAGAGTGAGGACGAAGGGGGAAAACGGGACAGGACGAGGAGGATCAGGGAGTAGGAGGAGAGGGCAGGGGAGGATGAGGAGGACGAGGAGGAGGAGGAGGAGGAGGATGAGGATGAGGAGGGGAGGAGGAGGAGGAGGAGGAGGAGGAGGAGGAGGAGGAGGAGGAGGAGGAGGAGGAGGAGGAGGAGGAGGAAGAGGAGGAAGCAAGCGTACCACGACGACGACGACGACGTCCCGCCCTACCCCGCGCTGCCCGCCTGCGGTGAGGCGCTGGGCGCGGTGATGTGCGGCTCCCGCCGCGCGGCGGCTGCTGCGTCCCAAAGTCACGGCAGGGCTCAGGAGGGAGGCCCAGTGGAGATGACGCAACGAACGATACACACGGCATGCAATGAAAACCTCCTTCAATGTCGAGACGGTGCAAATTTCGGGGAGACGTAAGACCTGGGTACGGGGGACTCGGAAATCCCCGACGAGGTCGTCAAAAAAATGACGAGGCCGAGCCTGCATTTTGACGAGGCCTCCCGCTGCAGACATCCCACAAAACTCCTCCTCGTCAAAATCCGAATCGCGGTCGTCAAAAAACGATGGCGAACCCGAGTCCTGGCAAACCCGGGTCTTACGCTCCCCCGAAAATTGAGACCCCCCAGCGAGCCAAAGGATCATAATCAAGCCATCTGTATCGCAGCACAGTCGAAATCGACCACGCCAAACGAGGGCAGCTTGCATAGTGAAGCTGGCGGTCGGGCTCATTTTCAGATCCGAAGATACAATCTGTACGGCCGCGCTCAATTAGGATCCGATGCGACGTCAAACATGCTCCGCTCAAGGTACGGTGCCAGGACCACGCCAAATAAGGAGGGACAGATTTCAGCACGGTCTGGATGCTGGGCCAATCAATGACCTCGATCTCCTCAGCCCGTTCGGGCCATCATTTCTTCAGGCGGGATCTGTACAGCTCGGGCAAACAACTCCGCGGCCAACACGAGATACACGCAATCTTCGCCGCTCTCTGCAGCTTCACATGATTTTCACGGCACGCACGGGCAGCAGCAACATGCATCTCCGAACCAGCACCGTGCTCGGCGTCATTCAAATACTCGACGAAGGCACGGCACCTCCAATGCGTCAGATATATCTCTCTTCCCATTGGGCACAACGGACAGTCGGCACTCGTCTAGCTCCTCGGACATGGGCGTGTCTGTCATCCGCACAAGCCATCGATACACACTGGCATATTCAAGTAATGTGGAGAGAGCCGTTCGATCAAGCGAGGCGGTACTCAACACTTCCAATGGACATACACGGGAAGCATTCCACTCATGCAGACACGCCTCACGAGCTCGAAAGATCCAACAGGATGGCGGAACGCCTGGGCCAACGCCCGTTTTTCGGCATCTTACAGCTCATTCGGCAACGGCAAAAACTGCATCACATAGCTGATTACGGGCTATCGCACGAATATTGTACATCATTGCCGAAGAGGATGCAACAATGATGCCGGCGCTGGTCGCAGCAGCTCGCGCACGATACTTCTGACGGGGAAAAATCCAGGAATCGATCAACTCCGTGGCAGGGCCAATCCACATCCCAAGGTAAAACAGTTTCGGCTCGATGCGACAAGCGGACCACTCATGGATAAACATGTTCAGGAACTTGTGGATATGGTTTCTCAGGCTCGGAGTGCACTGGTCAGAGACGGGAGTCAGCACGCACTTCGCAGGTTTGAGGGCCAGGTGGGCAAGGAGGAGGAAGAGGAGGAAGAAGAGGATAATACTAATGAGAGAAGTCGGTGTGAGGACAAACAAATGTTCTCCGTAAGCGGAATGACCAGCGGAATGTAAGAAATGTCCAAAAACGATGAACAGCGGGCGCGATGCTTGGCCAAACTATAACTGGCCGCGGGAACATGGCAATGAGGGCGCAGGCAAAGAAACGGAACATAGGCATGACTATTGTCGGGTCAGGCTCAAGCGAGTCCGTCGTGTGTGCGAGTGCTCTGCTGACCGCGCTCGTGATTCAAACTCCTGCGATGAGCGCTCTGCTGACCGCGCTCATGAAACTACGAGTCAAACGCTGCAAGGAAGGGACTGCTGCCGCTCAGCTGACACAGCCATCAAGAGCAACACTCACGCGAATGTTCAGCTTCCTTGCAGTTCTTGACTATGACCGCCCGTGAAGCTTGGCGACCCCGTGGCTGTTGGGCAGGATGGCCTGTATTCCAGCGAACGGAGCTGGCTGAACACGCACCGGAACTACAGTGCCCGACCTTGTGGCACAGTCACACGAGTCGCCTCATCACTGCTGGGTGTGAAGGAGCTGTGCTGGGAGCCCGGAGCGCTCTTCTTCTTGCACTCTTGTCGCTGGAGTTGGCAGCGCCATGGTCATAGCTGATCTGGCCGGCCATCGCACTGAGGATGAGCTAGCGGCCAATGCTACCCTTGGTCATGGGGTCGGCCCGCATGTCCCGAGCGTCGCACCAAAATGGGTCCTCGATTTGCTGGTGCGCAGCTGGTCGGCGAACCGCCGCAAGTGGCCTGCTATTTTGTTCTCGGAAAGCGGCCGCGCCAGGTCCATGAGCAGGGCGATGAAAAAGGACATGCCGTCGATGACGAGAGCAGCTGGGATCGCGCAACCTCCCCCCCCCCCCCTCAGCCTCCTGATCTCCTCGGCCCAGGCGGGGTCGTGCACCGTCTCGCGCAGCGAGAAGGGGTGCGCCTGCAGCCCGTCGGCTGCGCCGCGTGCTGCGAGCAGCTCTGATCCGAACGAAGATCTGCCAACCAACTCGTGCGATCGGCTCACTGCGTCCAACATGTGGTGCACCTGGTTGCTGGGTCGGCGGTGCGTGCCGCGCGCGTGTAAACGGCTCCTCTGATGCCGTCGCTGTTCGCGTTATGTCGCCTGGCGCACTCCGTGGCTGGAAATTTGTTGCGTGCCTTTTAATCTTCTGCGTGCATTTATCTTCTGCATCACGCGTCGGTTAAGCAACTTGTTCTTGGCTCGTTGCATGGCGACGATGCACGTGGCAACGCAACATTGGGTGAGCAGGGCGTCGGCCTCTTCTCCCAGGAGGGAGACGAAAAGGTCTGGGAGCCGACCTCTGGCCAGCTGGTCAGCCGTGGCCTTGACCAGGTCGACGTGTCTGATCGGCGTCAGAACGTCGATGCACTAGTCCAAGTCGAGCGGTAAAGTGCCGTCGGCACTGCGGTACTGGTGCGCTCCGCAACTGGTGGAATCTGCTCTCGATCTGGCTTTCATCAGCCAGTCGACGTGCCGTCGTGTCCACCGATCTTCAGGTGGTCCACGTGCCTGGACAACGTGAGCACTAGCTCCGAGACGCCGGTGCCGCAGGCGCCGTTCGTCTCGTGCTTGGCCTCAAGCTCTGGATCCCGCCATGAGGGTTCGGCGTTGCCCTCTAGCGAGCGCGTGGCCTGGGCGAGCATCGTGGAGAAGGCTTGGGCGCATCCTTGCAGTCCGTGCCGGGCTTCACGCAGTGCATGTACTGGGCCCGCTCGTCGTAGCTCTCGTAGCCGGGCACCTGCCTGGGCGTGGCTGCGCTGCCGTGTGGCAGGGTGGAAGTTAAGGCGCGGGGTGCTGCACTTTGTTCTTGCATCTCGGCGTATGTCACGCCTTGCAAGAATGCCTCCTCGACGTCCACGGGGACGCGCACCTTCTTTGGGCGACGCGCCGCCACTGGGGGTAGTGGGCGCAGCGACGCCCGCTTCGTTGTCCCAGCGACGTCTCCAGGACTCCAGATGATTCGGACAGTCTTGCCGTCTGATCCCTTCCGGTGCTTCAATTTGAAGCCATGTCCGGAGTCCCGCTGCGTCTCTGGTGCCCCTGAGCGGCCGTCCCGAAGCGGTTGTGCTCGACCCTGGAGGCGAGCTCGTCGAGGGTGGCCGCTGCGACCTCCCTTGACAACCTCGACGCTTCCTCGTTGGTCAGAAGGTCGGTTTCGCGCTTGGTGACCGCGGTCATGGCGGCGGCATGAATGTTAAGCGCGGCTGTCCAAGCAGCGCTAGCGACGCAGTCGCTAGACGCTCATTTGTTGAACTTCAAGAATGCTTCGCGCACACCTGGATCACGATGCAGCTTCGCATGCCTTCGTCCTCCGTTCCCCTCCTCTAGCGTGGCGTGGTCGTCCAAGGAGGCGCCGCGCAGGTGGTGGTGGCACTGCGCGTTGGCGCCCTGGCGCTGGTGCTGCGTCTCGAAGTGCTGGGGCCACTCGTGGGGCCTGCGACCAAGGCAGGCCGCGGCGTGCTCGACGCCAGCGTAGATCTCCTGCTTTACTGTCGGCGCTCGCCAGCTCCTCGAGCTTCTGGGTCAGGTCTGCGGCTCCTTCGACTTCGTGCCAGGCTGCCAACGTCACTTGTTGGATGTGGCCGGAGAAGTCGCTGTTGGCGGATGGCTAACCAGAGTTCGCTCGGGTATAGTTGGCAGGGCTGATGGTGAACCACCTTCGGTTGCGCTGGCGGCGTCCTCGGGAACGTCGGTGCTGCAGTCATCGAACGATCCGTCCAGGCCCTGTCTGGCGTATGCTACCAGTAACGGCATGTCGCCCAAAATGAGCTGAATCATGCGAGCTTCCTTCCAATGCTCACCGATGAGCTGATGGGCGTCGAACTTGCCGCCGTTGAGGTGGATCTGCTGGACGTCGATCGGGTTCCGAGGTGGCCGCCAGATGGCCGAACTGCGGGTGCAGCCTGGCCAAATTGCCCACATATTTCTGGCCGCGTATAAGTCGCGCGGCGCTGACGCAAAAACATCTGCGGGACAGGTGGCGCAGGGCTTCGAGGATGTCAAGGTGCTGCCGGGTCTGCTCGGTGATGTGGGCGCCCTTCGTGTCTTCCTAGTGGCAGAAGGTCCTGGTCCCAAAGCCTGGTGCGATGTGCTTCAGGTGGTCCTCCACGCGGTCCCAGGCCAAGCCTGCTCGCGCCATGCTACAAAGATGGCTCCGACGAAGTCCTGGGCGTCCTGCTATTTGCGTGCCATCTCGGTTCGGCGGTGCTTGACCTCCACCTTGCCTCGAGCAGGGTCTTACAAAAAACCGCCCCAGGGCCGGCCTGGCCCGGCGAGTCCTTTAAACTCGGGGGCTGGTGGATCTCCATTGTTCTGCCAAGATTGAAGCGGCCCTCCCCGGGCTCGGTGGCGCGGGCCCGGGGTGTGCGGTCGACGCGTGAGATCGGCATGGCCTCGATCAGGCGTTGCAGGGCGATTTCTCGGATGCGCCGTTGCAGTCGGCTGCGCTGCGCTTTTCCGCCCGCGGAAGGCTCGGCGCCAGTGCCGCAGGCGCCGGGTGCCTCACCCTCTTGTTTTGGTTCGAGTGGTGGCAGCATGGGTGGCTGCCATTGTATAACATCGCTCACGTGGGTAAGGCAGTTGCCAGAGAAGAACGCGTGCAACAGTATGGGGTCGAAGTGCGCCGTGATGCCGCAGGTGATCTAGTTGTGCTAGTGATGTGTCCCGTCCTCGTTCGAAGACCCAGGCGGGGCTGCTGCCCGCGTCTGCCGGGGCGGGTTGGCGGGGCCAGCTGGCGGGCGGGCCTGGCCGTCTCCTAGCGAGGCAGCTCCTGGGAGCCTTCGGTGCCGCAGGCGCCAGCAGACCCCTTGGATGTCGGACCGCCCCCCCCCTCTCTCGATGGAG